GGCAGGTAGAGAACAGGGCAGGTTGTACAAGGCCCTCTGGGACAGCGGGGGAGGCTTGGAATTTGACCCTGAGGGAGGTAGGAGCCCTGGAGGGCTGTGGGTGTAGAAGGGGGTCAGGCCTTGATTTAGGTGCTTTACTGGGGAGGACAGATGGGGGTGAGGGTGGGATTGGGAAGCCAGGGCAGAGGGGACCGTACAGGTCTAGGTGGGCAATGATGGGGACTACACGGGGTAGGTAGATCTCGTGGGTAAAGATAAATAAATTCATGAGAAATTAAATTTGAGAGCAATTCCAGACCAGCAGCCTGTGGGTGTGAGAGGAGAAAAGTTAGGCTGGTTATCAGATTTTAATGAGTCCCTGTTAGGATGGAACTGCCATCAACTGACAAAGGGAGGGCTTAGGAGGAACAGGTTTGCTGGATCCAGCCACACCTGACGGTGTCATGATTTATCTGGAAGGAGAGGAAGTATCTGGGCTTGAGAGAACTGACAGGTGAAGAAGGCAGAAGAGCTGGGGCATGCCTGCGGTGGGCAGTGTGCCTGCTGCGGTGTGGCTGGCAGGCAGACACGGCGCCAGGGCCAGGGTGTGAGCAGATGAGGCACACTCCCAACTTGTAGGCACAGGCTCAGTGCCCCAGGTCACAAATGCCAGCTAGGTGGGGAGGGGCCCTGCGGGCACAGGCAACCTAGGGGTGGGGAGCCCAGAGAATGGAGAAGCCGCCCAGCCAGTTTCTCTCTCACTCTGAAAACCAGGGGTGTGGAATTTGGTAGTTACCCAGAAATGAAATTTCCAGAGATTTTGACCCCAAATGTGAGGAAGGTGGGACATGGGAGAGTAGTAATGGGGTCCTGCCCAGGTGTGTCCAAGATGAAGTTTTTTCTGAGGGCTCTCTATCAAGGCACGTTTTAAAAGCTTGCAGTCCCAGGGGGACACTGTTCGCTTGCAAGCTGTTTGGAGGAAAGGATGGGGCCCCACTTAATCTGCGGGCTTCCCTTTCAGTGTTGTTTTTAATGGAGAACAGTGGAAGTCCATTAAGTTCTCTGGGCTGGATACTGGCAAGTGGTGGTCTCCTTTAAAGAAGGAAAAGTACCCTTTTGCGCACATAGAGTGAAGACTAAAAGGAAGCGGTGGGCCCCGGGACCTTTGGTACTTGTTGTTCCTTCTGCCTGCAACTCTGTTCCCGGAGGTGTTCGCGTGTCTGATTTGCTCTCATCTCCGTCCTCGGAGGCCCCTCCACATGCCCCCGGCTTCTACAGTCTCATTTCTAGTATATTTCATTTCCTTTTTTGGCATCTCACAGCACTGTTAACAGTGTTTGTCTCCCTGGGTGTCCACTCCAACTTATGTCTGCCCCACGAGAGCACAGGGAGCCGGCCCTGTCATGCTCACCACCAAGTCCCCGGCAGCCCAGCACACAGTAGGTGCTCAGTAAGTGTTTGTGGAAAGAGTGAATGAAAATGACCACATGCTAAGAGTTTCTCTTCAGGAGAGGAGTGGATTATGGGCAATTTTTATTTTCTTCTTTTTGCTGATTTTTCCTAATTTTCTGCTGCACGTGCCTATTTTATAATTAGAAGAAAAGTTATTTTGAAAAAAATTACCCCCAAAGTCCCAGCTGTGAAGCTGACGTGATCTATCCCATGTTCCTCCCCAAGGGCAGCTGCCTCCTGTGTACTGAGCACATATCACATGAACATTTGGGGGCTCCTGGGGTCAGCTCCTACAGGCACTGGGTGCGCAAAGCAGTCTGGGAGGACTTCCTGGAGGTGGCAGCTGTAACCTTCAAGGTGCTTAGGTCAAAAACCCTATAGTCATCCCTTTAACTTATGCCTCCAAACTGTCCTTTTGAAAATTCTGTTAACTTTGCCTTCACAATCTTTCCAGAATGTGCCTCTTTTCCCTGCTGCTCCACCTAAACCAGTGCAGTTGCTTCTGCCATAGTTCCTGGTCTTTACTCTTGGCCTTACACAGACTGTCGTATCCGCACAGCTAGAGGGTACCTGTAAATACCCGAGCCGCATCCTCTCCTTTCTCTCCCTACAGCTCCCCAGGGCTTCCACCTTCCTCCTGGTAAAAGTCCAAGTCCCCACAAGACCCCGCAGGATCTGCCTCTGTCTCTCCCCTGCTCTCCCCATCTCCCTCTCTCCCCCTCCCTCATTCTAGCCAGGAAGAGGCTTTCTCACTGTCTGTCTAATATGCCAGGCATGTCCTGCCCCAGGATCTTTGTATGTGCTGTTCCTGATGCCTGAATTGCTCCTTTGAAACATCCACACTTTAATATCTTAGCTCAAGTGTCACCTCCTCACTTCCTGGCCCTCGCCTATTTAATATGACATCCTACCCAGGAGGACCTCCCCCCACGTTGTTCATCTTGAGAGCCTTTATCACCAGCTGATCCTTGGTGTGCAGTGAGTTCCCACTTGACATCAATAGATTCTTGGAAATTGCAACTGTAAGTGAAAAAAATGTATAAAACAAAAATTCAGCAAGCCCTCAAATAACATCCTTTCTTTCAACATAGATTGGATATTATTTTGTTCTCATCACTATTATAATAAAATGATGTTGAATGAAACTTTATTGGAGGACCTGCTGTATTTTATTTGTTCCCACTGGAGTAGGAGCAGAGATCTTTGTCAGTTTTATGGTGACCTCTCTATGCCCTGCAGTCAGGCTTGGCACACAGTAGGAACTCAACAAATGTTTGTTTTAGAAAAGGGTAGCTAACAACCCCTGCTTTGTCATGAAGGTGCTGCATATTTGGCCTCTGGGGGAGAGCAGTGTTGGAGGGGGCTCTTCTGGGTGAGGGTCTGGCTATTTATTAGATATTTGCTGAAAACCTACTGTGTGCCATGCTTGTCCTGACCAATACCTAGCCCTGCCCGCCAAGGTCACACAGTCTAGTAGAGAGGTGCTCCCTGGGCCAGGCAATTAGCGTATGAGATGATCAGAGCCATTATGGAGCACCTTGTGGCTGTGCATAAGGGGCCTCCCAGCCGGAGATGCAAGAGATCTGCCCCAGATCTCTCTCCCCCGCTGAAGGGTCACCACCATCACATGGAGACAGGAGGCCCTCTCCAGGGACATATGGACAAGAGGCCCAGGGAAGGGGCAACAGGTCCTCAGCTATTATCCTCTGGCTCCTAGGTGACACAGACAGGCACTTCAGCCCTGGGTGTCCTGACCAGGTGGCTTCTTGTAGGGTGCCTGGTTTATATTACAGATGGAGAAACTGAGGCACAGAGTGTAAGGTCACATGGGTTATGTCTGGATTCAAACCCAGGTCTGCATGATCCCTCTGCCTGTCTGCAGATGCGTGCAGAGCACCCAGTACCTTCCTCTAGCAGTGTGTCCTGCTGAGCTCGGGGAGGTTATGCTGTTGATTAGAGAATACCTCCTGTGTCCCACTTCTGTGAGGCACCTACTGTGTGCCTCCCACGTATGAGACTCATGTTGGGGGGAGGAGATGTCAGACCATTCTGTGTTGGACAGTGCCTACTGTGTGCACCTGGCAGAAGGGCCAAGTGAAGAATCTACATCTAGATATTCACCAAGCACCTACAGTGCGTCCAGTGCGTGGGAGACTCCAGCCCAGGCCTCCCCAGTGCCAGGGGACCTGGGGTTATACCTTCCATTGTTCAGGGGGGAGGGAACTGGGCCACATGATGTGAAAGGTACAGATCAGCCACTGAGGAGGTGCTGAGTGCTGGGGAGGTAGGAGGTGCACCCTGTAGGGCAGCCATAGCAGTGCATGGATGGGCCACCATGGGAAATGAGTTATCTGAACCTGATCAGGGACCCTTCTGGGTTTCCACAGCTGCCGTGTCTCCCTCTCCCCCATCAAAGCCCTGCAACCTACTGGGTGCCCTTCTCTCTCGGCACTGCTTGGGGAGGGCTGTAAATTCTAGGGATTCCTTATCATTTTCGGACTCTTGGCCTGCTGTGGTCTTGTGGGTAGCAACTCGCGGCTGGACCCGAACCTTGGTTAGAATCCCTGCCTTCCTGTGCTTCAGGGAATCATTTCATTCCTCCGCTTTCCCCCGGAGCTGGTGGGTGACCATCTGCAGAAGCGCTCCTATGTGCTGGCTCAATAAATGACGGCCATGGGATTCATCCTGAGCGCTAATGGTGGAACGAGAGGCGTTCTTGCCGAGCATGGGAGCAGATGCGGGGAGCGGGCCCCTCCTGCCGAGGCCTGTGGGTCTCCCTCCGGGTTCTGCCCCTCCCTGATCGCTTCCCCAAGCTCCCAGGACCCCCTGAGCCTCCATCTTCCCCAGTCGCCTGTGGAGTTTTCAAACCCGCAACGGGCAGCCCCTCAGCTGGGATTGGCTGCCGGGGTGGGGCCGCCCCCACTTCTCCACCCTCTTCCTCCTCCCTGCCCCTCCCCGGGATCGGGTGTCTCGGGCCTGGCACGGTGGCCCCATCTGTTTCCAATCTGGCCCTGCGCTCTCCACCCCCTGCTCTGGCTTGTGGTCAGGATAGGGGCCTTTGCCACGGTGTCCCCCATTCATCGCCCGGACCCCAGCGAACTCCCAGGGGAGGGAGGCCCCTTTGTCGCGCCCCTCCCCCATCTCTGGGTCTCTGGGTGCAGGGGGCGCGGCCATTGCCACCTGCCCCGACTGGGAGGGGGTCTTTCGGCCCCTTCTGCGACCCCCCGTATTCGGGAGTGTTTGGGGAGCCCTCTGCTGCTCTGCAGCATCCACCCCTTCATCCGTTACCATGGCCACAGTCTGCGCTTGGAAGGGAAGAGGGAGCAGGGTAGGGCCTCGTTCGGGGCGCAGACTTCCAAGGGGGGAGGGTCACGCCCCTTAGGGATCTGCCCCATTTGTGCATGTGGAAGGGGCACAGCCCCTCCGAAGCCTCCCCACCCCCTGCATCCCCAAGGACGCTGCCCGCCCCCCAGATGGGGCTCCCCACGGGCTTCCCCCGCCCCACTTCCGGCCGGGGCCCCGCCCCCGCCCCGCCCCCGGCCGCCCCGGGTCGAGCTGCTGGGCCGGGCCGCTCCCGAGCCCTCGCTTTCCCGCTGCGCCGGGACGGCGCTTCCCAGCAGGAGCTGCGCTGGACCCGCCGGTCTCCCACCCGGTCTCCAAGCCGCGGGGTGAGTGCGCCCCGATCCCCTTCCAGCCCGAGTCCCAGGCCGCCCTGGGCTTTGCCCCCCTCTGTGCCCCTTCTCACTGTTCCTGGGAGGGGGACCCTTGCGGTTTCCCCCCACCCCCCGCCCCACGCGGACGCCCCAGCTGCCCTCCAGGGGCAGCTCAGATCGCCGCTGCCTTGGGCTCCCGCCGTCCGAGCAGGCTGGCTGCTGGCACTTTGGAAAACTCCAGACCGTTATGCTCCGAGGGGTCCCCTCCCCCGCCTGGCCCCCAGCCGACCTCCCCCTCTCGGAGGCGGAGCCAGGCTCGGGCTGCTTCTGCTGCCCCTCCTGGATGCGCTGATGGGGGCTCCGGCGTTCTGGCACCTTCCCCGGGCCCAGCCGCAGACCAGGCGAGGCGGCAGAACCATGGGTGGTGGGTGGAGTGGAGATAGGCGGCTTGGATCCCTGCCTTGATCCACCCCCAAACTCACGGAAAGTTTCCCTTTTTCCATTTGTCCCTGTGTTCCTGGGACCCGTGGACTCAGGTTGATGTGGCTCCTGGGGTCTTTAATAAACTGGGTGGGTTGGGACAAGAATATCTGCACCCGCTTTCCACTTCACGTTCCTGCCCCTCAGCTCCATGCCTTTGCAGCCCCATTGTCATCCAAGGAACCCGTGCCTCAGCACCCCTATTATTGCCTGGGGTCTTGCTTCCCAGAATTCCTTTCTAGAGTCCTGGGTGACACCAGAGGGACTTTATGCCAACTCCCAGAGGACACCCCCCTCTAAGCCATGCCTGCCCCTTCTTGGACCTCATCTCCAGCCCTTAAGCGTTGAACAGATTCCCAGAACAGATGTAAGCTGCTGTTGGAGTCTGCCTGTGGCCACCCCCTTTGCCTGTGGTGTCCCCCGCTGACCTTAGTTTCCCCCTCTGAAGTAGATGTGACCACAAGAAGGATGTGGGCAAAGTGCCGAGTGGGGTCAGGCATGCAGTAGGTATCCAGTATATGCACATTCCTGGGGTGGGGGAAAGGCCCATCATGGGAGCAGAGGGTGCTAGGGAGCTCAGAGGGTCATCCGAGAGGACTTCCTGAGGAAGTGACAGCCCAGCAGAGTCCTTTGATTGAGAGCTGAAGTTTGATGGGGAAAGAGGGAAAGTGCTGAATGGAAGGAGCACTGTGTACTGCGATCCCAGGCAAGCCAGAGGGCAAAGAGTCGGGGCTCAGACAGGATACGTGTGACTCTAGGGGTGCAACACAATGCAGCCAGCAGTTCCGGAGGCTGAAGTTACGCGTCTGGATTTTAATGGACATTAATGGGAACCATGAAAGGTTTTTATTTTGGCGGCGGGGCGGCGGGGGGGGGGGGGGGGGCAGAGTTGGACATAGCCACGCCCAGCCCCAGGATGGGAGGCCACAGCTGGGCTGTGGAAGGGACCCCGGGGTGAAGGGAACAGTTCCGAGGGGATCAGGAACAACCTGGCGTGGGGGAAACGTGGCTGCAGCTTGAAGGATGAGCTGACAACTGGGCCTGTAGGGGAGAGAGGTACCTGGTAAGGGGGCCTGTGTTAAGAAAGCCTTGGAGCACTGGCACAGAACAGTGCACGTGGGAACTGCGGGAACCTGTGGGAAGAGGCAGCAGGAGGGCCCAGGGTCAGAATGCGGAGCAGGGGAGCTGGGAGCGATGGTAGGTGTGACTCGAGCTGGGGTGCAACCCAAATCTGGGCAATACAGATTCCTCCATGAAGCTGACCTAGGGCACAAGCTGGCAGGGCCAAGTCTGGAGCCTGGAAACCAAGGAGTGTGAACTCTGGGCTGTATTGAAAACTATTTTCTGACCTTGAACCCCAGCCCAGCCCCTCCACAGTGAAGAATAGCACTTCCTCTCCAGGCCTCAGTTTCCTCATCTGTCGAACAGAAGGAAACACAAGAGGGTCATCAGTGGGCATTACTCATTCCTCACTGGCCCGAGACTGGCTCTCCATCCACCCCACCTGTCCATTCCTGGCCTTAGGGACCTTTGGGAACAGCACCCAGTAGAGATTGGTAGTCAATTAAAAGCAACTCCCTGCCCCAGTCCAAGCACGTTCCGGGAAAGATGGCAGGGCCAGCCCCACCCGGCCCTGCCCTAGCCCATTTCCTGGTGGAGGGACCTCAAGGCCCCAGGAGGGAGAGGGGATTAGCCAGAGCCACTGCGCTCACCAGTGACCAGGGCTTGAGCTCAGACCCTGCTTGACACTTGGGGACACAGTAATCCAAGGAAACTAGATCTGGGGTTCTGCCCTCCAGAAGCTCTGAGGCTGTGAAAATGGGGTTCAAAGCAGCAGTATAGTCTGGGCCCAGAAGGAAGGCAGTGGGGCAGGAGAGGTGTGTGTGAGGTTGTACCGTTGGGAGCCTTGTCCTAAGCCCAACCAACCAGTGAAGTCAACCTTACCTTCCCCTGCCCTGGGGCCATGAAACGCCCCTGAGGGTCGATGAGCCTCTAGACCCCCCTCCCAGGACAGGACCGACCCTGAGTCAGGGGACAGGGAGCGACACCCCTGCCTACTTAATCAAAGGACCCTGCCTCGTGCTGGTGACACAGAGCCTGTTTGCTGCCCAGTCCTGGCTCATAATCACCCCTTTATGCTCTCTGCACCGCGTGGGTACACAAGGCTGGTTCCAAGATCACGTGCCCCCCTCCTGGCGCCCAGCTGGAATGGGTGGCCACTTGCTCCTCATCAGCACTGCCTAAGAACCCTCAGAGACCACCCAGCAGGGTGTACTGGGGCCCAGGGAGGGTCATTCTCTTTCTTGAGATCACACAGTGACCCAGGAAGGACATAGCCATGTGATTTAGCATGAGCTCTGGACCCTGCAAGGGGCCTTGGGAAGTCCCCCTCCTCGGTGAGTCTCAGTTTCCTCATTTGTGAAAGACGGGTGCTTCCCTGTGGTGGACTACCAAGAGGTATGGAGGAAGCCCTTGGCAGGTGGCTGAGCAGGGTGGGCAGGGAGCCTCCCTGGGCCTGGGCTCCAGGTCTGGAGCTGCTTCCCTCTGCCCTTCCTCCCCCATGCCTGTCTCATCTGCTGCCCAAGTTATTTCCCGCAACTCCCCTAAGTGACTGTTCCCTTCTTAATGGCCACACCTTAGGCAGCCCTCATGCACCTGCCTGAGTTTCCCCATCTTGACAGTAATAGGGCTGATGGGCTGGTGATCGGGCTGCTTTACTGCTAGAGGGGCAGAGAGGAGGCTTGACCTGATGCCACATCTTTCTCTGTACCAGTCTCTCCCCCTCTCCCTCCCGGGACCTCTAGGCATTTCTTCTTGCCCTTCCTCATGCCGTTCCTGGTGCAGAGATACCTCCCCGCCTTCCCTTCACTCTTTCATTCTCAGCCAAATAATAACATGTCTGGAAACAGATATCCAGGCAGCAGGCTCCGCGCATGCAAAGGCAGGGGGGCAGGACTGGGCCTGGCGTATTGGAAGAACGGTGACAGGCTGACTGAGGAATGGAAAGAGGAAGAAAATGAAGGCAGAGAAGGGAGGAGCACCGTGGGGAGGACGTGGGCTTGCCCCCCAGGGAGGTGGTAGCCCTGGAGGGCTGTGGGCAGGGACTGGGCAGGACCTGACTGGGGGGCTCACAAGCACCCTCTCATGGCTGCTTTGGGGAGAACGGATGGCGGGGGGCAAGGGCGGGAGGTAACAGCATTCGTCCAGGTGAGCAAAGGTGGGGCTGGACCAGGTAGAGGCCAATTCAGTATGTATTTTGAAGGCAGAGCTGACAGGACTTGTTTGCATTCTCTCCTGACTCCTTGCAGGAACCACCCCCACGGTGTTTTCCAGGAGTGGGGGGTGGCAGGAAGGTCACGGACTTTGCAGGGTCCAACCTCTGTCATAGGAAGGATGGGGCCTAAAACTCGCTAGAACGGACCTTCCATGGTAATGTCTCACGGTATCTGACTCTCCTCTCCTGGGTGAGTCTATCCTGTGCCTCCCACCCCCATTAGCTGCCCCCTTATCCAGGCCTCAGTGCCCCCATTGCTTTGCCCCATCCCGACCAGCTGCAGCGGGGGGCTTGGGAAAGTTGGTAGCTTGTGGCGAGGCCCGCTGTACCTGAACCAGCCCTGTCCTGCCCAGACACTGGGAGGTGTGGGAAGGAAGCAGGGGTGCTTAGAAGAGAGCTGGCCCTGGCTTGCTTGGGACACGTTGAGTGGGGGAGGCAGCTGTGGCCAGGGACCTCCTGGGCACAGGCAGCCCCTGGCCACGTAAGCCAGTATTCTAGGCCAGGAGACTCAGGCTGGAGCAGGGAGTCACCCCCTGGGGTTCCTGGTAGAGTGGTACGTCTGAGTTTGACTCCCTCTGGGCTGTCACCCCACTGTGCTACCTCAGTTTCCCCACAAGCTCTCTGAGGGTCTGCCTAGTTGATCCAAGAGGTTTGGGTCACGGCCTGTCTTCCCAAATGTGGCCAAGCAGATGTCCGCCTGGGTGGGGCCAGCTGCTGTGGTCGCCCTGGCCCCGGCTGGCCAGGGGCTGTTTTTCCCAGCTGGCGTCTGCCTTCCTCAGTGGCTACTTTTGCTCTGAAGGAGCCTGTGGTGGGGGCCAGAGTAAGGAGCTTTACTCCAGGCTCCCTGGTCCCTGACTGCTTGTGTGTCTGTTGTCTGATGGCGTGTGTCTGTCTGCAAGTGCAGACAGTGCACAGGGCGGGGGTTCTGACTGCAGGTTGTGTGTATTGTCTGGCATGTGCAAGAGTGTGTGACTGACTGCCTGGCCTTTCTCCCTTGCCTGGGCTCTGCCATCCTCGCTCCTGTGCAGACATCGAGTCTGTGGTCGGAGTGTGCATTACCTGGGCCCTGTGGACCCGGAGCTCAGCTGTGTGCTGTGCTGCCTGGCCGGCCTCTAGACATGGGTCTTGCCTGGCTGTGCACCTGTGGGCTTTGTGTGAACCTGCGGGCGTGTCTTGTCTGAGTGCAGTCGTGGTTTGACTGTGTAAGTATATTGTCTGCTCTGTCACGACCCTCTGTGTGTACAGTCACGCGTCCCTTAGTGACTGGGACGAGTTCAGAGAAGTGTGTCATCCAGGGGTGTGTCACTGTGCAGGTGTTACAGAGTGTAACCTTGCCTGGGTTCTGACTGTGCAGGTTGTGTGTATTGGCCATCTAATGGCCAGCCGCCTGCACACCTACCCTTCACACACCCAGCCTCTTGCACACCCAGCCTCCGTGGCACAGCCTCTGCAGGCCCACGTTGATTAAAACGCATGACTGAATATTTCTATTGACTCTGTCCGTGTGTCTGAGGTCAGCTGTTGTGCATGTGCTCTGACTGTGTGCAAGTTGTATTTGTCTGACTGCGCGTGGGCCGATCTCCGTCGCTTGACTGTGTGAGTACACACACAGTGATGGTGTCTGGTGTCCGTTTGTCTGTGGTGTGTCTGGGTCTGTCTATGGTGTGGCTGTGGCCTGTGTGCCAGTCTCCTTCTCTGTGCCTGGTCTGACTGTGTGCATGTTAAGCTCCCCCGCCACCCCCCGCCCCGTCCAGGCTCCTGCCCTTCACTGGGGCCATGACCTGGCCCCACCAACCTAGCCTTGCCCTGGGGCCGGGCTGGGCGAGGTGACCACAGCTGGGTATTTTGGGAGGCACAATCACAGGGGCTGTCTCGTCATTATGTGGCACCAGTCCCTGTGGTCACGGCTGGACCCGCCCCGGGGCGCAGCCTGGGGTGGGTGCAGGGCTGACCCTTTCTCACCCTGGGCCTCTCTCAGTCCCTTCCTGGCCCTCTGTCCTGGTCCTGGACGAAGTGGCAATTGAGGGGGGGACTGGCCCGGAGTTTGGTCCCTGTAATGAGGGACCCTTCTGCCTCGGAAGAGCTTAGATTCTTGTGGGGAAGCAGACGCTGAATGATTAGCGTTATGTTAATTTGCAAACTGGGATAGACACCGTGGAGGACCGCCTTAGGCTTTTCTGAGATTGTGGGTGTGGAGTGGGGCTTGGGGGCTTCACCTTCAAGGGGCAGCGAGGGCTTCCTGAGGAAGTGACCGTGGAGCTGAGACCTGGCATGTGGCCGTGGGGCTCAGCCGTGCCAGTAGAGGGCACTGCCAGGACACAGCCTTGGAGGGAGGACTCCCTCAGCCTGCATGGCTGCACCTCGAGTCTCAGAGAGGAGCACCTGCTGTCGTGGCTTCTCTGGAGGTGACAGGGGCTGTGGGAGATGTTAAAGCAGGCCCAGGGATGGGGTGCGGGGCTGGGGGGATCTAACTGGTAGCCAAATGGGACTGGATTTAGGGATTGTTGGCAGTGTCATCTGGACAAGTATTGGCCATAAGGGGAGAAATTGGTACTCAGAGCACCCCTGGAGCTGGTACGCAACCCCAGTGTGGGACTTGGGTGCCAGGGTTCTCACAGTCCACGTGTACTGCTCCCTCAGGACCCCACAAGCCAGACACTTATTTCCCATGGTTCTGGAGGGTGAGGTCCAGGATCAAGGCCTGGGCAGGGTCGGTGTGTGATGAGGGCGCTCTTCCTGTTCACAGACGCCCTGCTGTGTCTTCACGGGGCCACAGGGCTGAGGGCGCTCTGGGGTCCCTTCTATTTAGGACACAAATCCCATTGGTGAGAGCCTCACCCTGCCCTCACGATGTTACATGAATCAACATGAATTTTGGGGAGACACGAATATTCTGTCTGTAGCAGGGACTCGACACTTCCTTCCCATCACATCACCTCCCCTGTTGTCCTGTCACCCTGTCTCCCCTGAACCCGTTGTCCTCTTGCCTTCTCTCCCCTAAGCCCATGACTCTCCACCCCCAACTCTCTGCCCTCTCTGCTTCCCCGCTTCCCCCCTTCCCTAGCTGCTCCTCTCCCCATCACAGCCCTCTGTTGTCTCTGCAGACGCTGCCCGTCTGACGCTCTGCCTGAGGCCTGTCTGTGAGGGACCGGGGGGCCACCCCCCTCCAGGGAGGAGGCCAGAGGCTGCAGGTTCCCGCCAAGCATGGCGCCTGCCTGGGGCCCTGGTGTGGCGTCTGTGGTTGGTCCCGTGGGCTTCCTCGTGGTCCTGCTGGTCGGAGGCTGCGCGGCAGAAGGTAAGAACTGGTGCGGGGTGTAGGGCGTCTGAGTGCCCATTTACGGGTATGTGTGCTGGGGCCTCCCCAGGGCTCTTGATTTTGCCAACCAGAGCCTCTGTGCGCCATGAGTGAGGTCGAGGAAGCATTTACAGTGCATCAGGTCCTGAGGGATTCCCGGTAAATAACAGTGATGGCATTAATAAAACAGTAACAGTAAGGATGGTGATGATGTCTGTCTCCCCAGCCAACTCTGCCTTGGCACAGACTTTATGTTTCACCCTCCTTCAGCCGCACAAAAACCTACCCCATTTCCTGCCACATTTTTCAATGAGGGTAACAGGCTTAGAGGGGACAGGGTCTTAATTTAAATAGCTAGGAATTAGCCAGAGTTCACCATTACTTAGTTGGCAGACAGACCTTCCCAAGGGAAGCTTCTTGGGAGATAGGACATTGAAGCTAGGGCTTTATGGGTGTGTAGGAGTTTGGTGATGGACAAACTAGTGGAAAGTGCTAGAGGTAAGGAGAGATTGGTGTATGGTTTAAGGAGGAAGAAGACTGCATTTCTGGCACTAACATGTTGAGAATGAGGGTCAGGCCTGACCCTAACACCAAGACACCCCTTCCTCCCCATACACACCAAGAGGCCTAAATAAGATACCACTCAGGCCCATGGGGACCCAGAGTAAAGCCCTCAGAGCAAGAAATTGGGATGCTCAGGCAGGGTTTGAATCCTAGCTCTGCTGACAACCTGCTGGGTTGAGCTAGGCTGGAGACTCAACATCTCAGCTGATTGAATGAGACTCATCCCATTTTTCATGTCCCAGTGCTCTTGTGACAAGAACATGTAATCGGCCCTTGCATACCGCTTAGCACATAATAGGCCTACAATCTTGAATTACCACAGGCAAAATAATGACTGCTGCCAGGTGAGAATATCATTCACGTAACACACCTGACATACCTGAATCATCCATTTTTTCTTGGTTTTTAGTAAATGCCTAACGCATTCAGATCAACCACCACAACCTGATGATGTAGCTGATTGGTGCTACCATCTTCCCCTTTGTATAGATGGGGAAACTAAGGCACAGTAAGCTTATGTCATAGCCAGGAGGTGGCTAGGTTGAGATTTGAACAGAGGCCAGGTTCCTGACCACTGTGTCACACCACCTCCAGGCCAGCAGCCAGGCATGACTGGGTCCTGTCACCCCCAGGCCTGTGTCTTCCTGGACTTGGTTCCCACAGTGGGAATGGTGGGCCAAAGGTACTCAGCATCCTCACTTTTTCATTCATTTATTAGCACAAGTCTGTCTCTCCCCTTTGGCACAGCTGACATCGGGGACCAGGTCCTTCTCTGTGGGAGACCTGCCTGGGCACTGGGGTGCTGAGCAGCATCCATGGTCCCACCTGCTCGGTGCCAGGAGCGCCGCCAGTTGTGACAACCACAGGTGTCCCCAGGCAAAAATGGCTCAGCCCAGATGAGAACCTCTGATTTACCTTCACTGGCTGAATAAATAATTTATTTTACTACTTTGACATCTTGCTCCTATGATAATTGCCAGTCTGGGTATGATGAAGCCAGGATTTCCCCCATTTACAGGTGTTGGAGAAACTAAAGCTACACAGTAGCCATTGTGATGAGGGAGTGTTGATCATGGAGTCTGGAGACTGCCCTGGTGTGGGTTCAAATTCTGGCTTTGTTGAGTAACCACAGGTAGATCTGTAGATCTGTGTCCTCTTTTACCCAGTGGGTTTTTAGTAAGAACCTACTGTATGCCAGGCACTGGTTTATGCACCTAGAACAAAACAAACATTCCACTGGCAATGGAGCTAGGCTGATAATTTAGTGTGTTGGATGTGAACATGCCAGGGAGCAAGATGAGTAGGAGGGGAGATACAGGTGGGAGGGGAGCGCTAGGGGCTGCATTATAAATGGACAGGAGGAAGTCAGGTAAAGTTGCAACAAGGAGGTGGCATCTGAACAGAGACCTAAAGATATCTGGGGGAAACATGTTCCAAGCAGAGAGCACAGCACATGCAAAGGTCCTGAGGCAGGACTATGCCTGGCATGTTGGAAGAACAGTGAGGAGGCCTGTGTGACTATAGCAGTGAGTGAGGGGAGGGGAGGGGGCAGGTTTTACAAGGCCTTGTGGGCACTGGGAGCTCTTGGGCTTTTTATCTGTAGGGATGTGGGTGGAGGAGGAGGCATGGGTCCTGGCTTGGGTGCTCACAGGTACCCTCTGGTGGCTGCTATAGGAAGGACAGACTGATGGGGTTGGGGGGGACCAGAGCAGAGGGGACCAGGCTTGTCCCAGTGGACAGAGAGGGGTGTGACTCAGGATATCAGCACTTGGTATATAGTGGGAGCCTGTTTAGTGGGTGCTCCCTCCATGAGTTCTGTACTGACTTTGTTACTTTGGGGCTGGAAGTGAACCCAGCTCTCCATCTGCATGGGTAGAATTTTGACCCTGTTGGTGGGTCTGTCTAGCAGAAACTGTCGTCTGGAGGGAATCTGGGGAGCCAAGGCACTGTGATATGCACTGCCAGGTTCAAGGAGTGGCCCAGGTCCTCAGGGAGTCATTTGGGGCGGGGAGTGTCCAGCCTCAGCAAGCCCAGCAGGCGCCTGAAAACCTAACCAGCACCAAAAGGAGCAATTTCTGCTCCAGAAATGTTCTCTTATCCTTTGGGGCCTTCCCAGGATGCTGTGGGGCCGACCCAGGCGGGGTTGGAGGGAATGGGTGGGTGGGTCTCTGGCTTTGGCAACAGATTCTTCTCTGCAGAATCTGAAATGGAAAAAGAGAAATTGGGCCAAGCCCTTCCGGCCTTCAAGCTGGTGGTTGGCATCGCCACTCTGAACCTCCAAGTCTCTTTATATAAGATACAGGGATACTTGGGGTGCTCTCCGTTAGTGAAGACCTACAACCTTATTTACTGAGCCGGCTGCTTGCAGAGCTTGGAATCCCAGCTGTGCGCATCATGAGCCGGCTGACCTGGTCTGCTCACGGCCCCTTCCCAGCTTGTTGCTGCTCTGAGGCATGGACGTGAGGCTGTGCAGAGTCTCACCAGCCCCAGCACAAAGCATTTGCTTGTTACATGCTCCGGCCATACCCCAATGTGTCTGTCTTGTACTGGAGGCCCCTCGGCAAGAGGAGAGGGAGAGGCAAGTGAGAGAACCTGAGTGGCCACAAGGAATTTTCTGATGGGGGATGCAGCAGGCACAACAACCTTCTGGAGGGGTTGGATCTCAGAACTGCTTGGAGATAGGCTGAGAAGGCGTCTGCCTTGCAGATGGGAGCCCAGGGTCAAGTGGGCAGCTTCATCAGGGCATCAGGCCAAAACGCCATTTTCTCAAAGGTCATCAGACATCAAAGGAGCAGTTATGTGGGGTCCCAGCGGTTACGCCCCGTGCCCACCTTGTGAGTGATGGGGCAGTTACTTCAGCCAAGCATGATCAGGACAGTGGTGAGAGGTGCCAAGGCAGTGGTGGGAACAGAGGGTCTTCTGGCCCTGCCTGCAGTAATCTGAGGCTACTCCCCAGGCAAGACACTGGTCCAGCTGAGGTTGGAGCTGCCAGATGAGGGAAGGAAAAGGGAAGTCCAGGAGGAAGGAAAAACACAGGCTCCCGCTGTGTCTCAATCCTGGATTGGCGGTTGCTTGGGGTGTGTCCCCCACTAGCTGGATGCCTTCTGCTATCCACAGCCAGCTCTGCCCTTCCTTCCAGCTCCTCCTGAGGGAAGATTTTCCCAGAAGTAAGGTTCCTGACCCAGCCACAGTGACTTTCCCTTGGGACCTTGGCTGGAGACGCAGATGGCCTGGGTCACCACTTCTGAGGCTCTGAAGAGGGCCGGCCCCGGCATCAGAGCCAGAGAGCAGGGCTTAGCCCAGAGCCCAACATGAAGCAAAGCATCTAAATCAGGCTGCAGGCCAGGAGTTGATAGTAGCACAAAATATGGACTTGGAGATGGAGAGTCGGGCTTAAAATTCCAGTGTTGTCGCTTCTGAACTGTGTTACTTCATGCAAGGTTGTTAATCTTCCTGAATCTGTACAATCCCACCTGTATAATGGGATCAGTAGTCACAGGATACACTAGGGCTGAGTAAGGCCCCACATACCTACATAGAGTGGCTTTATTGATTTTCATGAGAGATGGTCATATCACTGGGAGTAGATCCTTGTATGGGAGGTGACACCAGTCAGGCAACTAGATGAGGACTCTTTCATTCAAAGCCCAGCCTGCCGTAGGTGGGAGAAACAGACCTGTGGGTACACAGACTTGGAACCTGAGGCCTTCAGCTTCTCAGAGCTTCCAAGCTGCCAGAGCTTTCCAGGTCAACCTGCACTAACCTTGGAGGCTCAGAGGCCCAGGGTTCCCCAAGCTTGAGTTGTTCACGTCAGATACCAAACTTTTACTTAATATTTTCTTTAATCAGCTCACCTTTTTGTCACTTTAATTTTAACTTATCTTTAAATACAGTCATGCATTGATGAGGCATGCATTAATGATGAGGATCCATTCTAAGAAATGCATGATTAAGTGAATTTGTCATCAGGTTAACGTCACGGAGTGTAATGACACAAACCTAGATGGTACATCCCATGACATACCTAGACTTGATGGTGGAGCCTATGAGGACCCCTGGCATGTATGTGGTGCCTCATTGACCAAAACATTGTTCAGTGATGCATGACTTGTTCACTTAAAAGGTGTCCTGCTTCCTTTTTACAGCTATGTAGTATTCCACCTGGTATATTCATTTAATCGATCTCTTATTATTGGGTAGGCAGTTTGTTTCCTGAGGGACCTTGTAAGTATGTTACAACCTTTGAGTCTGTTGGTTTAAAAAAAAAAAAAAAAAGCCTCAGAAGTAACTGAATTCATTTTCTGGGATACATTGTAGCATTACAGTGAATGGAAACCCAATATCCCTTTGGGTGATTCAAAGGTTACTGTGTAAAGTCAATAAATAGAAAACAATGGTGATAAATTCACTGGATATTGTAGTCTGCCTCAGGTGTTCGGACACAGCTCCCATTAGAGATGTTCTTGGAGAGATGGAATACACCAGATCATGGGCACGAGCTGCCCCAGTTCAAACCCCAGCATGCAGCCACTGACTAGCTTGCCCATGAAGGCGTGCCTTGCCTGTTCTGTGCCTTAGTTTTCTCAAGAGTGAAATAGGGCCACGATGGTCTTGCCCCTCACCGCTTTTGGAACCATTTGATGTTCCTGCCTGTACCCCTCTCCCCCGGCATACTCTAGGCACTCAGTAAGCACTTGCCCTAGTGGTTGTTGCTCCATAGGCTTTGGAAAACCTGATCACCCTTTCCGAGCATCTGAGTCCAGCTTGGCCCTCTTGTCTGGACACCTCGTGTGGGCAAAGATGCTAGAGCCCTGGGTCAAAATGCTGGCTCTGACCTTAGTTCTCTACTTTTCCTGCTTGGTGCCTCAGTTTCCCCAGATGTCCCACCAGCAAATTAAGCCAGGCTCTCTGTGACCACATTTCCTCCAGGGTTTGGCTGACCAAACACTGAACTTGGGGGCCTAAGACTGGAGGGTCTCCTCTTCCTCCATGGCCTGTGGCACTGGGTCTTTGTGGGTCTGCCTGTGCGAGGTTGTGTCCACATGTGAGCGTGCGTGGCTGCTGTATGCAGCAGTGGGGGTGGGGAAGGCTTCGATGGTGGCTTTTTTCTGCCTTCCCCCTTCTCTGCCCAGCTCTTTGATTGGGCCCACATGGTATCTCAGCTCAGGTTAGGGGGTAGAGGGCTTGTTTGCAGAGCCCCAAGCAGTCCTGGCCATGAACCTGGGCTCACCAGAGCCCCTTCTTTTTCTGCTCCATCCTCAGAGCCCCCCAGGTTCATTAAAGAGCCCAAGGACCAGATTGGAGTATCAGGGGGTGTCGCATCCTTTGTGTGCCAGGCTGCGGGTGATCCCAAGCCTCGGGTGACCTGGAACAAGAAGGGCAAGAAGGTCAACTCGCAGCGCTTTGAGGTGAGTCGGTACCAAGGGAGGTAGCCTAGGGCCAACACCCCTCACCCCACCCTCAAGGTGGGGCCGTGCAGCTCAGTCGTAGAAGATAGAACTAACACATGCCCCAGATGCAGCCCAGGCGGCCAACACGGGGAAGCCTGACTGGCAGCTTCTCCCACCCCTCCCTGCCACGTGGCCCCACCTGCCTGTCCAGGTAGGACCCACCTAGGCTCTCTTGCTCTGCCTCCTCATGCCCCGTGGCGTGAGGCCAGGCCCTGCCTCTTCAGTCTTCTCACTCAGACATGGTCACACACACCACTGCCGGGATTCACACCTCCGTGCCTGTGCATGTGATCACGCTCGCCCCTTTCCACCTCCCGCGTGCCTTCACACGCCCGCCACGCACACGGACGTCTGCCGCACCCACACACACAGCGCCCTTTCACTTGCCCGTCCCCAGGCCATTTTCTGCCTCCAGTGCCTTCACGCTGGGCACCCACACGCATGCAGAAGAGCTCTTCTCCCGGTCACCCAGGCCCGGGCTCACCCTGCTCTTTCTCTGCTGCAGACCATCGAGTTTGACGAGAGCGCGGGAGCCGTGCTGAGGATCCAGCCACTGCGGACACCTCGCGATGAGAACGTGTACGAGTGTGTGGCCCAGAACTCTGTCGGAGAGATCACCGTCCACGCCAAGCTCACTGTCCTCCGAGGTACTGGGCATCCTGGGGTGGGCGCCAGAGAGGTCGGGCTCTGGGTTTTGGGGACAAACGCCGAAGGGATCTGAGAAAACCTCGCTTTTGGATTTTCTCCTTGGGGGCCGCTCTTTCTCTTCTCCGGCCTGTAACACCGCTGGGGCCCAGAGCCTTGGCTGGAAGGGCTTTATCGAGCCTTGGCAGGAGAAAGTAGCATTAAGGGAATAGAGTTTCCTCGTTTGTCATCTCGGTCATGCTCTTGCAAGTTTACCCGAGACTTGTAAGATCCAACTCGCACTGGCTCAAGTAAGAAAGAGAATTGGTCTGTGCACAAGTCACGCATTGTTTAATGATGAGGGTCCGTCCTGAGAACGGCATCGCCAGGCGCTGGGTGGACATCAGGGTGGAAGGACACGCTGGACGGTGGCCGCGGCTCTGAGCTAGCCCATGGGAACCGCCGCCGCCCGGCAGGTTCGCCATGGCCGGAACGCAGCCAAGCGGCGGGACTGCAGGGAAGGTGTCCGTGGAGCAGCTCGCTCTAGGTTCACCCGGATCCAGGAGCTCGTGGGATGGTCGCAGGACTCACTCTCCTCTGGGTTTGTTTGCTTCCATATCAACTATATGCTCAGTGAGCTCCCCCCACCCCCATCAGCTCCGGACTCCTGGCCCCCACCCAAAAGAGAGGCCCGCGAGCCACAGGACTGCTGTTCGCTGGCCCAGTGTAGGCATCCCTGAGCTGGCATCAGGACAGGGGGGCACATACTCTGACTGTCAGAGTCCTCCCTGGAGTCAGGGGTGGGTCAGCCCATGTAGATGGGGTTAGTCAGAGGCTCGTCCACCAAAGGAACAGAGGAACAGATGTTGGGCAGGCAGAAACATCTGCCCTCCACATCTCCATGTGTTCACGTGGAGCCTTTGGGAACTCTGCCGGGCTGCCTGCTGGCCTCATTCAGGGGGGCTGGCTGCTGCAGGAAGTGGCTGAATACGGCCATGTGACTCCTAGCTGCCTTCTCCATCATATGCCGGTTTAGCCCAGGGGCCAGCAACTTGAATTCAAGTGCCGGTGCTACCACTCTGTAGCTGTGTGGCTTTGAGCAAGTTAAGGAACCTCTCTGAGCTGTGGTTTCCTCATCTCCAAAGTGAGATGATGACAGTGCTCACCCCAAGGGGGTCGCTGCGTGAACCAAGTAGGGGATGAGCGCAGTGCCCTGCAGGGCTGTGCTGTGGTTGGTCAGTTATTGCTGTGATTGTCATTGTGGTTACTTTGGTTTGAAGAAGATGGCTTCCCCTAGTCCTGCTGTGCTTCTCCAAGTGGTGGGTTCTGCCTGTTGCCGGGGGTGGGCCTGTTGCTCTGGCCCTCTCTTATCTGAATATGGGCCACAGCCAGCCATTAGCTAGAGTGTGGCCCGACATGTGACTCCTGAATGAGGGCAGTGGAGCCGTGGCCAAGCTTAGAGCCCTGGGGGCGGGGCACTCTGGCCTAGACCCCGGTGTGCAGTCTGCTCGGAGCCCCTTGCTCAGAATGCTTTGCCGTGACCGTCTGAAAATCTTAGTGTTTTAACGAGGGCCCATAGTTTCATTTTGCATCAGCCCCAGCTGAAGGGTTGGGGCGGGGGCTAACAAAGGGAGGAGCAGGAGAAGTCCATGCACCCCGGGCCGCCCCACCTCTTCCCAGCAGATATTTTTGCTCTGACCTTTTCCGGGCACAGACAGAACAGCCTGCCTCCTATTGCCCTGTGCCAGCCTCCATTGTGAGCACTCAGAGAGTTAAAAGGACAAGCTGTGACTCTGTTAACAGCCCAGTCGCGGGAGTCTGGAAAAGACGGATCTCTGCTCCCTGCCCCCCGAACACGGCTCCCGGCTTCTCTCTGTTCTCAGGCGCCCCAGAGGGCCAGGGTGCTTGGGCTAGGCGCCTAATCCCAGGTGTTCGCCTTTTTCCCCAGTGGAGCCCCAGGGCCCCCCCAGCCCCAGGCCCTGAGCCCCAGGGACCCTGAGCCCCAGGGACCCCGGCTGCGCTGGAAGGCCTGGGCTGCCCACAGCTCCCAGCGCTCCCGCCCCCCTTCCTCCCCCACCATCTGATTGTGGTCCTTGCTCACGCCTCCCTTGCTGTTGTTTTAATTAAACTCTGAGGAATCGGGCACAATGTGGTACACGATGAACATTTTTGTTTAATTAGGAGCTCTCGGTAATGTCAGGCGGCCACCACCTCCCCCCGCACCTGCGCGCCTGCTCCCCACCCTGGCTGGCTGCCGCCCACACACACTCATGGGGCTCCCGGGGCTGTGTACACACAGGAAGTGCTCACGTGTGGGCACGTGGTGGCGCAGGTACGTGTGTGATGACCACGCACATGCGTACATGCCACACACATGGCACCCTGTGTGTGAACTGCACACGCCTTGCACACCTGCATGGTGCACACAGACACATGCATGTCGGATGTGGGGATACAGGGGTGCTGGCAGACAACCCAGGCTCAGTGCACACAGCCAGCCTCGAACACCAAGAATTGAACCCTGGTTGTGTTCACCTCCGTTAACCCATCAGAGCTGCTTAGGTCATCCAGGCCTCAGACCCAAGAACAAATGGGGCTCAAACCACCTCAGGTGGGGTCTAGCCACGCCCCACCCCTGAAGACCCCAGCGTGTCCAATCCATTTTGAGGGCTGTGCATCCAGCACCCCCAGACACCCAGGCTTGTCCTCAAACCCCAGCCTTGCTGTGTCCTAACTGCGGCCACTGTCTGAGCCATAGTACCCCTCTGTGAACAGGCCCTACCTCGGAGGAGGTATCTACACAGCACCTGGTGCTCAGGAAGCATGGAGGCCACAGCGCCCTTGTTCCCCCAGAGACCCGGAGTGGTGCTGCCTCCACCTGCCTCTCCCTTGCTCCGCCCGCACCTCCTGCCCACAGCTGATGCCTGGGGTCAGTTCCCTTGCAAGCCTCCATCCCATCCTTGACACCCTCCCTCTTCTGCCCAGTGCCACGGCATGGGTGTCACTTCCTTTTTACACAAATTCCTTGTCCACACTGGGAGGCAGCAAACTCTCTGTGAAACACCTGAAAATAAATACCTTCAACTGCGGGACAGGCGGCCCTGTGGTGACTTCTGAGCTGCGCTGCCAAGGCAGGAAAGCCCCCGTCGCTGGCCAGGAAGTGCACGGGCATGGGCAAGTGCCAGTAAAACTTAAACAAAAGCTGGCTGAGGGCCAGATTGGTTCAGAAGTGGTGCCCGTCAGCAACCTAGAATCTCTGGTGTGCATCATGTTCACTCTGGAACCTGTCCCCTGGACACAGTATCCTGGGCTCTGCTCCGAGGCTTTGTGTGAGAGGATCCCTCCTGCCTGTGTCTGACGAGTCCCTGTTGACAGGGGGCCTAGACCACCTCCAGCCTTCGCCGACTCCGGGCACCTCCGTGCTCCTCTGGTGCATGGGCTTAGGATGCTAAGCTGAGGGCCAGGATTGGGTGGGTGGCACCCAATCACCCCTCCAGGCCCGGATGGGATGTCAGCAGGCATGTCAGCATCCCCGCCAACCTCAGTCACCCCAGCCCCTGGGTGCTCACGTCCGGCCCTTGTCCGTCAGGGGTGGGCCCGTGCCGGGGCTGCTGTAACATGCATCTCTGGCGGAGGGGCTTAGCAGCACTTACTGCTTCACAGTGCTGGAGACTGGGAGTGCAGCATCGAGGGCTGAGTGCTCTGAGGGAAGGGAGGACCCTTGGCGTGTGGACGGCCACCTTCTCCCCGTGTCCTCAGTTGTCCACCTGAGCCCGTCTGTGTCCTGACCCTCTAGATGGACAATAGTTTTGTTGGCTCAGGGCCCATCTTATGACCTCATTTAACTTGAATCACCTCTTTAGCGTCCCGTCTCCAAGCACACTTGCCTTCTGAGGCCCTGGGAGTTAAGCCTTCAGCACAGGAGCCTGAGGGCAGGTGTGCATTGCATTGGAGACAGGGTCGGGGGAGGTGTTAGTGGCCATCTTAACACACTCTGTTCCCAGCCCCCTGCCTCCCATGTGGGGCACCCTTTGTGCACGAAAGACCAGACCAGAAATGAGGGGCATTGGGAGTTAGAGCCAAAGAAACCTGGAATTGGGTGCAGGGAGAAGAGAAGGTGGAGGCCCCCTGTACTGCCCCCCCACCCCGGCTCCAGCTCCAGCTAAATTAGCCCACAGAGCCTGCAGTCTGCCTCTGCTCAGCCTAGGACCATCTTCTTGCCCATCACACGGGGAGCAGGGCTTCCCAAGGAGGTACATTTTCTCCTCCTGGTGTCCCCCTACACCTCCCTTTACCACTGAGTGACGTGCAGACTCTGGATGTTAAATGGGAAACCTGGAGGGGTGGCACCTCTCCATAGGGGAGGGGGTTGAACTAAGTCATTCTCATTTATAAAGTGCCTACTGTGTGCCAGGCCCTGCCCTGGGGGTGGGGATATGGTGACCACATACCTTCATCATGGTAAGTGGAGTTCGATCCTCAGACATTCTGGATGTCAGCTGCCTAAGGCAGCATAGACGAGGAGGTGCAGAGGGGCAGGGAACCCCAGCCCTGGAGTCTTCCCCGGGGGGAGATTGATAACCGAGCAGCAAAGAGGCCAGCTTGGCAGGATGGGCGTGTGACAGAGGGAGGGTGGTGGGCAGGGCTGCGGTGGCTGGGAGGCTGAGTTCCTCCTGAAGTGGTGGGGCCGCAAGAAGGCTGCAGCTGGGAGAGTGTGGTTCACTTCTGTTCTGGAAAGTCCCCTCTGGCTACTGTCTGTGGCCCTGGCATCGCTGCCTTCAGGCTGGTCACACTCTGGAGGCATCCTGGGCACTGTGGGTATGAGCAGCTTCCCTGGCTCACACTTACTCAATGCCCCAAGCACCCTGCATCCCTGTGGTGGATAACCCAAAATGTCCCCAGATTTCACCCAGTGTCCCCTGGGCAGCAGAGTTGCCCCAAGGTGAAAAGCCTTGGTATGGGCTGATGTTCTCACGTGAGAGTCACCCCCACCCATGGACAGGGGAAGAAACAGCCTCGGGATGTCCAGGGCAAAGGCTGTGGTCCCCGAGCCACATCCTGCAGGGGTGGCCCTGCCATAACTGCATCTCTCCCCCGTTTTTCCTGTCTCCTTCCTCAGAGGACCAGCTGCCCCCCGGCTTCCCCAACATTGACATGGGCCCCCAGCTGAAGGTGGTAGAGCGGACCCGGACGGCTACTATGCTCTGCGCTGCCAGTGGCAACCCTGACCCCGAAATCACCTGGTTCAAGGACTTCCTACCTGTGGACCCCAGTGCCAGCAACGGGCGTATCAAGCAGCTGCGATCAGGTGAGCGCAGGTGACCAGCAGGCTGTGGGAGCCACAGAAGGTGGTCGTGGGAGGACATCACCTCTGACCGTGGAGGGAACTGGTGTTGAGAGGGAGTTCAACATTGAACCCCTGAGGGTAATAGGACATGGAAAGGCAGGACAATGAGGGGGCGGTGGAGTGCTGTGGGAGGAGAGCTCCTTGGTGCTTGGGTAGGGACATAATAGATGCACAATAATGGAGAACTCCAGTGCGTCACAGGCACAGAGTGTCTCCAGTACCCAGGCAGTGGAGTCCTGAGGCGCACAGTTGTGGGTGATATGGAAACCATAAGCTGTTGGGTCTCTGCGGTGCCCCAGCAGAAGGGCAGAGGTGATAGGGAGCCATGGAGGGTGCTAGGGGGAGTCCATCTTCCGCTCCTAACCATTAGGTATATAACAGGACATTGGCAGTTAAGATAACGGGGAGCCATGGAAGGGGGCAGAGGCAGAGTGTCTTCCATGCTGAAGCGTTGGGCATGTCCAGCAAGGAGATAATGGGGTCCAGACAGGTAGCAGAGGGAAGTGGCATAAGGCAACAAGAGAACATTCCCAGTGGATGTCTCCAGTGGAGATAGTGGGCCACAGACAGGTAAGGTAACAGGGAGCCATCGAGAGCTGCAGGGAGAGAGTGCCGCCAAGGCCGTCGCCCTGAGTATGTAATGGGGCACGGACAAGCAGACTGGCAGCCCAGGCTGAGCTCCGGGGACCTCGGAACACAGCTCGAGGCCTTGTCCACTCTGGGGATGGGTGAATTCCATAGTTGTGTCTCAGCATAGCACCCGCGAGCCCTTCTGTGAACTCCTCTGTCTAGGGGACTGTGTGTGTCATGTCACTTGTCCCACTGCTTCATGGCGTGTCTGCATGCACGTGTCTGGGCTCACTGTTGTGGCCTGCTTCGTGGGTGGGCACACACAGGCTGTCCGTCGGCACAAACAGGTTTGCCTGCCCTCCCAGAACAGAGCTGTGCACGTGCACCCTGGCCCCGCAGCATCCACGTTACAGGCCTCCCTTCATACACGTACGCAGGCAGCGCCCCCATGTGCAGGCACGTGTGATACCCGCAGGTCCTCGTGCGTGCGATGGGCACTAGGGCCGTCCCTGGTGTGCTCACGTGCATTTCAGTCTGTTGCAAGTACACACGGGGACATGCTTCTATCCTGTCTCCCCTCTCAGACTGGCCCTGAGCCTCCCTTGGAGGCCCGGCTGCCGTCCTCTGTCTCCCTCCCTCACTGCCCAGCTGTTGTCTGAGGACCCAGCCACCCCGCCTCTGCTTTCTGTTCTTCCATCCAAGACCCAGACCCTGCGTAGTGCAGAGGTGGAGCCCAGAATTTCTTCCCTGGAGAAAGACCATCTCACCGGGGAGAGAAAGAACCTTCTCTACCCAAAGATATTTGCAGTGTGGGGCCTTCCACCGTAAGAACGGTGGCCACACTGGGCATCTGGTTGCTCCCTGCTATTATAGTACCTGCAGGGTGAAGTGGTTAAGGGCCCAGCCACAGGCCCCAACTCCTGGGGCTCAGACTGTGCCCTGCAGCAATACATCCTCTTGGGACCTTGGTGTCCCCATAAAAGGTGCCTTATCCCTCGCATTATGCCGACAGAATACCTGGCACAAGTCAGTGCTCGATGAACATAAGCCGCGTTATTAATCACCATAAACCTGATTGTTATTCTGACTTCCCCACCTCAGTGAGGATCCAGGCTTCTGAGTAACCACCCATTAATGTTCCTCTTCTCTTTTCTTGTCCTCCGTTGTAAACGTTCAGAAACCTTTGGTAAGTCTAATTTCTTCACCACGTCAACAACTAACGTCCCCTTTGTGCCCCTGTCCTCTCCCCTCAGACTAACAGCCACCGTGACAGTAACTGTGACCCACTCCACGTGGCATGTTTACTAACGCCTTCCTGCCCCCCTCACCCCCACCCCTGCCCCAATGGTCCTCCAGCTCTCCTCAGCCGGGCACCAGGGGGCTGCAGAGAGAGGAGCCCGAAGGGAAAAGAGGAAAAAACCGCAGGACCATCAGAGTTAGATCAGACCCCAGAATGGGGGTGAGGGAAAATCAGAGGAATCTGGGGACCCATGGAGCTTTCTATATAACAGTGCCTCGTCCCATTCTTGGCCTTGACCCTGTTTAGAAAATGATGAAATCAGAAGTTTAAGTGCTAGATCTGGGGTGAGAGGGTAGTTTCCAGGTGGGCTGGTACTGGGCACTTCTTATCCTCTTTACCCAGCATCCAGCCTGGATCCCCTGAAACCACTTGGCTGGACTAATTCTTACTAAAGTGAGAGTGATTGCAATTGGCCCTTGATAGTTACTTATTTTCCTTGGAGTGGAAAGCAGAAACACCCTTAGGATCCAAGAGGGACATCCCCTCTGCCACCAATATAGCAATCATAGGCTGCTGGGCCATCATTTGAAGTCCATTTCTTCGACCTTTATCACCCCGATAAAGTGTAGTAGAACAACCCAAAGCAGGGGCTGACCTAGATTCCCACTGACCCAGATTTTAGCTCTCCTGAGTGCAACCTTAGGCAAATTCCCATTTCCTCCTGTGCAAAGAGGAGAAAATGACCTTGTCACTTGAGAATTTTGCAATAGATTATACAAGGGCCCCCAAAAGTTCAGAATAGAGGGTCTCCAGTCAGGGCCGGGGGTGCTGGAGAGCTGTGTCCAAGGCCCACCTCTGCCTCTGGCTCATGATACAACAATTCTCTGGCACCTTCTGGGACTCAGTTTGCCTGTCTGTAAAATGAGCCATGCAGAGGGAGCTATGTTTTCTCCTCCTTGGAGCCTTCTACATCCTGGCCTGAGGCATGAGGTATGAAGCTCCAACCCTGGGTGTTGCCTGTCTCCTGACTCTTCCTTCCCCCAGCGCCCCGACACCAAGACAGTCCTTTCCTCTTTTCCTTTTGGAAGTTTAAGAGGCTTCAGTGTCCTCCCTCTGCCTGGATCCCCTTTCTCTGCCCTTCCCTGTCCCCCTTACTTGGCCTGTCTGTAACATCTGCCCTTTGCTTTATTAATGCCCAGCCCTAGGGCACTAACCCCTCCCCCTGTGTCTAACAAGATCCCTCAGACCCCACCACTCCTTGTCCCTCCTAAGAAGGAAAGACAAAGCAGAGGTCATGGCCCTCCCTCAGTCCAGAAGGAAGGCAGCCAGCAGGGCCAGGCAGGCCCCAGACCTCCCCAGGGCATAGCAGCTCCCAGGGGCCTGTGGACTCAGCCCCTTCCTTCCCTAGGAGACGCCTCCTCTGTTGGGAAGCCCTTCTAATTGGCAAGCCCTCATGTCCCACCCTGTTCCTTGGAGCCTTGCTGGTTCTCCTCAGCAGGGACCAGGGCTGGCTTAGCCCCCCTGGGGGCAGAGGGAACAGGCCTGGCTTGGACCTCCCCGGGGCCCCCGGCCCCCCAGGACTGCCTTCTGAAATTCACCTGATTCTCTCTGCTTCCCTTACAGAAAGCACTCCGATCCGAGGTAAGAGGCTCTTTCCTCACTCACCCACCCACTCACGCTCTCTCTCACTGCCCACCCAGTTCCCCAGACTCCAGAGGGGACTGCCCCCTGCACCCCCTCCACGTGTCTCCTTGCCACCCTACCCGATGTTGGTCCAGTCTGTGTCTGTGTTGCTGTCTGTGGCTGGGGGGGCCAAGTGTGGCCGCAGTGGCTCCTCAGGACACCTGCTTACAGGAAGAGGGGAGCTTACAGGAAGGGGCCACCTTCCCATGCCCACCCCCCGGAGTGCCAGACCCGGGGTTCTGACCCCCCTCTGGCTGCAGCTATTGTCCATCTCTAACCTTGGTTTTCCCAGCTGTAAAATGAGGGTGCAGAGGAACCCTTTGGCTCTACAGCTCTTTTTTTTTTTTTTTAATGGAGTAGGGTGTCTAGCCTGAGGGAACAGTCAGGCAGTCTCACAGGCCAGCCCTCCGGTGCTGCCCAGAGACTAGACTACAAATAGTCTGATGTGTGGGAGCCCTAGGAAAAGTCAATGTCTGGTTGTGACTTTGCTGTGAAACACTGTGTGACCGAAGGCAGGCTCCTTGCCATCTCTGGGGCCACAATGATGCCTGCCTGTCTGCCCTCCCCAGAGCCTGATTTTTCAGTCTGTGACTTCATGTCACTTCTGTGGGATAACCTTGAATAAAGCAGGGCGGACGGTTCTGCTTGAGAGCTTGGACTGGATTGTTGGACTCCTGGTGCCAGAATCTCCGATTAAAGCCTGTGACTCAAACACAGTAGGAGAGACTCACTCATTTTTACTTACTCGTGGTCAGCAAGCCCTGGGTCCCAGCCTCCGAGTCAAACATACATGGAGATGTTCGCTCAGTTTCATTTACTTACACAAATGAGGACTTCAACCCAGGCCTTTGATTTCAAACATATTTGTAGAAACCTTTGCCTCGTTTTTATTTATTCATGGGCACTCAAGGATTTTATTGAGTCCTATGATTTCAGACATACTTACGGATGTTCCGTCAGCTTCATTTCCTTATGAAAGTGAGGATTTGTTTCAGGACTGTGGTTTCGGGAGTCTATAGGATAACTGGGTTGATTTCTGTTTATTCATTGGCACTGTAGCATTTGCCCCAGACTGGGCTTTCAGATATTCTTGGGATGGGTCATTCATTTTTATATGTTCATTGGGAGTGAAATCTTTAACCTGGGATTTCAAACATACTAAGGGGAAATCAGCTCTATTTTCATTTGCTTATGGTCACCACGACCTCTGGTTTGGTCCTGTGATTTTAAATATACTTGAGGAAATGGGCCTCTCTCAATTTTCATTCACTCATAATCAACAAATCCTGTGATCCTGGTTGTGATTTCAAACATACTTGAAGCATTTTAACTTCAACTTTATTTGTGGGTCTGCAATGTTTTCATTGCAACCTCGGATTTTAAACACTTTTGAAAAGTTTCCTCGTTAACCTGCGAGCCCCTTCGACTTGAGTCTAGGACCATAATTTCAAAAACACTTGACAAAGTTCACTCAGTTATTCATGAGCACCAGGATCCTGAATCCAGGACTGTGGTTTTAAAACAGGTGGGTAAATAAATTCAGACTGACTTACTGAGGTGACTTAAATAAATCCTTGGGGAAATTCAGCTTCCTCATGTAGTTTCAGGTATAGAAGGCTTCTTTCACGCCTTTGATTCAAACATGCTAAATGTTATAAGTTTCAATGTCCTGTACCTCAGGTAAAGGATGATACCCCAGGTGTCAGGGGATGTACCCCAGCCCTGAAGTTTAAATTCTCTTGACAAAATACCACCCTGTCTCCATTTACTTGTGGGCACTGTAGGCTTTGATATCTGTCATTCCAAACACACTGAGGAACCCAGACTCACGTTGGTTTACAGATGCACAGAGGTTGAAACCAACAAGCAGCTGGCCAGTTCCCTGAACTTGCACATTATTTGCGATGACCCCTTAGGTCCCGGGGTCTCTTGAACCCACTTTCCCTCTTTCCTGGAGAGCATCATGGGACCCTTTACAAATACACCTCCCCCGTGCACTCCCCCATCTTTGTGGTTCAACGTGGCTGTCATTTATGCAGCGCCCACGGGTGGGCGGCTGCTTGTACAGTGACATGAAGGATTTGTCGGGGAGTCCTGTGTGTCCAGGCCAGGACGAGGCTAGGCTCAGGGCTGGGGGACAATGAGCCAGGGTAACCCCTGGGGTTTCTAGGCTAACTAAACTCTTCCATCTGCCTCGTGGCCCGGCCAGAGCAAGAGACAGGCTGGACTGGACTCCGGGACAGCCTTCCCGTTCTTCCCCCGCCTGCCCTGACTGCTCGAGCCTTCTGCCCTCTCTCCACAGGGGCCCTCCAGATTGAGAGCAGTGAAGAGACCGACCAGGGCAAATACGAATGTGTGGCCACTAACAGCGCTGGCGTGCGCTACTCCTCACCCGCCAACCTCTACGTGCGAGGTAGGGAACGCCGCATCCAGGTCAAAGGCAGGGACCTGCCCCATCCCGTTCCCCCTACCTCGGGCTTACAGCCTCCGGGCTCCCCTGTCCCCTGCACACCCGAGCCAGAAGATCCCCCGCCTGGATGCAGTGGGGACCGTAGGCAAGGAAGTGTGTCCCTCTCTGGACCTCAGTTTCCTTGCCTGTAAAATGGGGGTAGCTTAAACCCACTCCCACCCCGTGCCTGGTGATGGACGCCCCATGGGTTTTAGGATGTGGGTGGGGGGGGACAGGAGGGACTGTGGCAGGGTCGGGGAGGGGGTCAGTCTTGGGCCTACAGGGCAGGGGGAGCCTGCAGGCCTCTGCCCCACCCCGCCCGCCCACCCAACTGCCCATCCAAGTCGGCTTCTGTGCTGTGTGTTGTGCCGTGCCCCCTGTTCCGTGCTCGCTTCGCTTTTCCGAACTCCGTGGCCTCGTAGCTCCCCGCTTTACCACCCCTCCCCACAGCCCCTCTATCTGAGAGTTGGGGAGGGGTCTTTGAGGCATCCCCTCCTCCAAACCGGCCCACACCCTCAGCTGTCCCCTAGCCTGGTGCTATCTGTCTCATCCTAGTTACCCTCTGGAAAGGTCTGATTTAGGCCAAGGGAAGATGGGGCCACTGCGAGGCACACCCCAGGGGCCCGGCACTGCCCCTCCCAGGCTGAGGCAGGCACGGCACCCAGCAAGACGCGTCACTCTTGGAAGCAGGAGGTCCTTCTCCCGTGCCCACCCCACCCAGAAAGCCCTGGAAGTGTCTACACATACTTCCTTCTGGGTCCCTCCCAGGGGAGCAGCAGGGAGGCTCCCTTTGCCCCCGATGCCTCTGTAGACCCCTCCACTTATCCTCATGTTAACTCTCTTGGATCCTTTTGGAAATGATAGTCTGCCTCCCCCTCCTCCTCGGCTCCCCCATGCCCACCTCCCACCTTCTGATTTGACTCTGGTAGAAACAGCTTCCACCAGGGAACCAGGGGGCCCGCCCCCGCTGTCCGAACCCCAGGGCTGCTCGGTCAGCTCCGTGTAATTGACTCGACTCTCCCCTCTCTGAGCTGCAGTTCTCCCCATTCGAAATGCCAAGCCCCTGCCTTCCCCACCTCAGAGGCCGGAGGGTTCCTCTTTGACCTGCAGACCCTCAGCCCCTGGGCCCTCGGCCCTCCTCCCAGTAAAGGCCCCAACCCCGAAGCAGTTCCTTAGTTCTGCACTTGAAGTTTTGCATCTTGTCTCTGAGGAGGAAGCTGCATGGAGGGAGGGGATGGGACCGCGGGGGTGTGGGCGGGCAGGGGCATACCTCCCACCCGCTGCCACAGCACCTCTGGTGAGTTCCAGCGCGCTCATGAATTCTGACTGACTGGTCTTCGTCTAACCTGCTTATTTCTTTGCAAACACCTGGGATGGGGGTTTGTAATTCTGGCAGAACTCAGAGACAGAGCGGACAGCAGGCATGGGGCAGGGTGGGGGCGGGCGCTCAAGAGAGAGGGTGCAACCAGGGCGGGGGGCTTCTGTGTCCTCAGCCCCCAGAGGTGGGGTCCCCGGCTTGAACCTCCTTCCTGTTGGGGAGTCCGGCCTCCCAACCTTTGCCTGGGTCTCAGATGCTCCAAAATTAAATTTAAAAAGAAACGTTCAAAGGCGAATATAGATCTTGTATGTCAAGGAAAGAGAAAAGGTTGTTGCTGTTCTTTTTTATTTTTTAATTTTAATTTTTTTTGGTTTAATGAGAAAAAAAAACAACAAACTATTGCAGCTTTTAGCCTTGGGAAGTCCTCTTTTTACTCTCTGTATCTCCCCTATTTTTTCTCTTCTCCCCATGTCATTGTGTTCTGCATCAAACCCCCTTTACATCCCTCAGAGCTTCGAGAAGGTTGGTGTGTTTTTTTCTTTTTTACTTTCTTTACCCACATTTTTACATTCTGAAAGTGACACGCACACACACAAAACTCACACAGACACACAGACACACACACACACAGAAAATAATAATTAAAAAAAAGTAAATGGAATGTGAATAACTGGCACAAAACAAACAAAACAAAACAAAAAACCGCCAAGCGAGAGCAAAAACCCAGAAAGACACGAAAATCTCAGCCGCGCCCAGCCCGGCCTAGGGCCGGCCGCACACATGCGATGCTTGCATTGTGGTCGCCTCTCTATGCATCCGTTGGTAATGTTGTTGCTAAGTTTTTTGCACTCCTCGTCGTCATGGTAACTTGGGCCTGATGCATGTTGGGAGAATGTAAAAATTTCTCTGCATGCCACTCTTGTCGGTTTGGTTTGGTGAATTCCCAACACCTTCTGTTGGAGTGTTTCTTGTCTTCCGTTCCGTTTTTCTCCTTTGGTTTACTTCTTTTTCTTTCTTTTATTTATGAATTTCTTTTCTTGGTTTTGTTTCATTTTGGGGGGGAAAAAACCGATCGGTTCGTTTTTTTTTCCCCCCTCCCATCCCCTTCCTCAACCCCTTTCTCCCTCAAAGCGTTTCGTCTTTGGTTCTGTATCGTGTTTCCGTGCTACTTGGTTTTGGTTTCTTGGGCTGAGCTGTTTTGTGGTTGTTCTCCAAACGCATTGTGATTTAAAAGCCAGTGTTCCTGTCCCAACTACCATCCAAGGAGGGCGGAAGGGGTCCCACAGCTGGGATGCTGGGGCAGAAAGTGACCACATGGGGTCTCAGGAGGGGCATAGGCAGGCGGTGGGAGGTCGGAGCCTGGTGAGGTGTGTGGGGAGAGCAGCCCATTTGCCTGCCCTTACTGCTTAAGCCCCTTACTATCCTGGGGAACGACCATGTTGGAAGGGAGCTTAAGCACACATGTTCCCGTCCTTCTGCCTTAGCGTGAGGCCAACGCCTGCCCTCCCAAACTACACCCATTTGAAGCATTTGAAGCACAGCTGAATGGGCACCTAATATTTTGAGTTCTTGCTCGATAGAACAACACATCCACATGTGGGAAGTGATCACCTTTAAATGGACCATCCACCCCAAATGGTGCATGCTTGGCACATGAACCATGTTCAAAATGGCAGCTGGCGTGATAACTTTATGCTTCTTGGCTGGGCACAAATAAAGAACTGCCTGTCAGAAAATAGGGCATGACTGATTTTGGAAGACATACTTAGCCAGCTATCCTGTGTTTGAGTGCTATGCCTCTGCCTCCCAGGTGATATTGGCTGCTCCTCCCACCTTCTCTCAGACTTCAGGCCCAGTCACAGGTGTCATTTGTTCAGCAGTGCAGCCTGGTCACTTTCTGAGTCCCTGAGCATCAGAACTGTGGAATTCTGGAGAAAACCCAGGGGAACTTTGGACACAGCCTCTCCCCCTCTCTCTGCCTCCTTAACCTTCCCTCTACCCCTCTCCCTTCCTCTCTCTCTCTCTCTCTCTCTCTCTTTCGTTCGCTCTTTCTCTCTCTCTTTCAGCTCTTTCTCTCTGTGTCTCTCTCTCTTGTAAATCTTCAGGGATGCACACTTCCACCTTCTCCCTCCCTGAAGAAAGGCAAGCTTTGACAGTCCTGTTCTACCCCCGTCCCCCAGTAAAATATTCATTTAGATTTCTAGCCCCCAGCTCCCTACCCAACACAGATGATAACTGAAGGCATAGGCCAGCCTGTTTGGGATCACCGTTCCCCCTTCTCTCGCCCTTGCTCCTCTAAACTCTCCAATATTAAGTCCAGGGCCAAGTTGGCTAGTGGACTTCAGGTGCAATAAGAGGGAGTTAATTTCTCCTATCTCTTTTTTTAATCTAGTAGGGGAACTGCCAGACAGATTCTCAGGAATCCCCAAAAGATAAAAGGAGAGGGGTCCCCCCACTCCTACACCAAAGTTGGGGCCAAGTGAATTGGAACTGAGGGGTAGTTGAGGCCTCTGAAGATCATGTGGACTTTTTGGGCAGCGTAGCCTAGAGGTGAGAGTACAGACTCTGGGCTCAGCACATGTGCATTCAAATCCTGCCTCTACCCCCTACTTAGCTTTGTGACTTCAGTCTAGTAACTTGATTCATTTGATCTCTTGGAGACTCCATTCCCTCCTTTGAATAATATAGACCATCAACATGCCTAGCTCACAAGTTAGGAGGGAGGATTCCATTGAGCAAATTAATACTAGCCAAGTGCCCTGTGTAGTAGATGGCACATAAGAAAATACAGTGGCATTGTTGTAAAAGTGAGAAATAAAGAGTCTGAGCAAAGGCTTCGGGAAGTCATCTACTTTTGGGGGGAACCATCATTTCCTGTATGTTTTCATGTACTTCACATGTCCATAGTTTGAATAAGATGGCTTATGGGAAACTGCTTTGAAAAGAATCATAGGCCAGAAATTAATTCATTTGCTCAGATCTCTTTTTTTGCTAGTGCATTTCTGAGCCCACCCATGATCTCATTTCCTCCTCGCTCCAACCCCATCCCCATGAGATCTGTGACCTCCCCAGAGCCGTATCTCTTACTTTACCTCCCGTTACTCCTACAGGAAGAGCCATGGCCACATAGCCAGGAGAGGGCAAAAAAGACCCAGCTTGGGTGGTAGGCCATGCTTAAAAATATGGACCAACCCAGCAGAAGGGATAGGCCACCTGGCATGTTGTGCCCTAAAAACTACAATTGTTTGCATTGTAGTCTGAGCAGCAATGTTGCAGTTCATAGTTGCAAGGAATCCCCACCCTTCACAACCCAAGTCTTCATTTCACAGTTTCCAGCTTCTGCTGATGCTGGATGGTTCAGAGGATGGACTATTCAGATTTGCCTTTTCTAAAATTGATTTGCGATCCATAGGACCAAAGTCAAAACCATGCCCTTTTTTTAATGTAACTGGCAGCTCTGTTCCCAGACCTCCCCTGGGGAATATGCAGCTCAGGCTTTTGACAAGGGTGGGAAGTTAACCAGATTTCATGCTCTTTGGCTGTTAATTTTCTTTTTTGTCTCTTTAAAATTATAAACCTTTAAGGTGTGGGTTAGTGAATAAAGATATTCTCTTTACCATTTACTTCCACAGCATAGCATTATTGA